TTTTTCTGACCATAGCTCCTGAGCATACCTAGCTGCCCTATGCTCTTGTTTCTGAAACTACCTCAAACTAGTGAGAGATAAGGAGGCATTGCCATGGTTACCAAGGGGCTCCAAGAAGCCGGAAAAAGGGAGGGGGAGATGTCTCTGGTGTGAGACAAGGTAAGATAAAACCAGTTTGGAGCGGTTTGACCTGTCCAAAGTGATACTTAGCAGAGATCTTTTAGGAATGCATCAACTCTCGCCCCCCCAACCCTTATTAGCCTAATAAAAACCACACCCTGCATAACTAATCACCTATTTACCATGAACATGTGATGTATGTAGTAGTAGTATGTATAGTATGTAGTGGTCTGTAGAGGGGGGTAACAGGAAGTAGGTCAATAGGCAGATGGAAAGAATGTGACCTCAGAGTACCTTAGCCAATGGGGAAATGGGGAGGAATGAGCGTTGGCATAAGATTGTATAAAATGTGCTGAAATCTGTAATGGGGGGGGGGCTTCTTATTTGTAACGAAGCCCACCAGCCTTTGCAAATGTTTCAATAAACTTTACTTCTGACTAATCGAGAGAGAGACTCGTGAGGGCATTTCTCACAGTGCTAACCTGCTTTTCCCACTTGGCTGCCTTTTTTAGGACATCCGTCCTTAACTCTTGTCCATCAGCCTCTTGCTGCATGCTAAGAACAGTAACCCTAATCAGCGGTGTGTGGCCAATTGTGTCTTGGCTTAATAAGCTGAGATAGGAGCGAGCCTTATGCCCACACAGGAAGACTCCCTGTTAAGCCTTCAACTTTGTCAGTCCTTCAGATTGCTCCCAATGTGTAAGAGTTCCCCAACCGGATGAAAAAGAACTACAACCTACTACTTTCTAAGGAAGTGAAGATTCAGCAAAAAGGAGTGTCATTTCAGCTTCCTGAGCACAGGTTTGATCATCTGTGGTGGGGATTGTGGGAGTGTCTCGTAAACAGATAAACCAGCTCCACCACCATAAACACACCATTTTTCACACAACTGAGTGGCACTACCAGTAAACGCACACTAATAACATTGGGCTTTATTCCCATTCTTCTCCTTGCACGACTTAGATCTGCACTGTGTCACTAAGTTCATTTGAACTGTGAGGAAAATAAGGTTTCAGATGAATGGGACCGTTTAAATCAAGTTGAAACATAAGGAATTTGGCTTATCCTCTGGTTCACACCAGTCTGTTGTAAACCTTATCAGAACATTCCCATGGCAACCCATGAATCTGTCCTCAAGATGCCAATAAAGGATGTCTTCTTTCTG